CGCACTCAATTTTGCTTTTTTTGAAAACAAAAAGTACAGAATTAAAATAAGATTTACTTTGTAAATTGTAGTTCTTTTCACGCCGCATCTCCTGGTATATTTTGTTTTTTTAAAACAACGTATTAATTCCCAGGTCGAGGCGAACAGTCACGGAACGCGTTCCGAACGCACGTTAAGAACGTGTTCAGAACGAGTAGTTCTGAACGTGTTCGCACATTCCGAACGCGTTCTCTGTACTGTTCGGAACGCGTTCTATGTTATCACGAACGCCTTTTGTAATCGATTCGCATACAACACTCCTAAAGGTGTTATTATATAAATTAAAGATATACCCTTAGTTTCTATTTTCGATTTTATTTTACAACACAATGTAAAAGATCATGTTGGCGTAGACAAAATAACGACTATCATTGCGAAGAGTTTCATATACACGAGAAACAACAAAACAAAAATACAGTTACTTAAGAGAGAAGATGACAACTACAAGCATGAGCAGTTCACAGTACAACAGCAAACAAAAACTTTTACAATTATTTGATTTCTTAGTACAAATATCACAGTTTCACACACAGTTAAATGAAGAATAAAAGCAGGAAAAAACATTTCGCAAAATAGCAAAAAAATGAAAAAGACTACGCATTATTTCAAAAAATATCGAGAAAAATGTGGGTAAAAAACTTTACTTTGACCATTTATTTGTTTCATTTGATATTATCTGTTGTTGTTGATTGTTCACCATTGCTTTGATATGATGTTAATGTAATTGTTTATTCTTGATCAGCTAATCTATAAAAAAGAAAATGAGATGTAAATTTATCACCCAAATTAAATAAGAAAACTTACGCATGCTTTTGTCGAAAAATATGTCCACGTCGTTGATTACCTCTAATGATTTTTCCTTCAAAATCCCAAAAGCTAGTAATATTATCATCATCATCGTAAAAAAACCAAGCTTGAATTGCAGCTAAAAGTATTAGTTGAACATAAATACATGGATCGTAGAATGCAAATTACTTACCTTTTATTTTTTCTGTTCGTTCGTTGATCTGTTCATGTTTATCATCAATAATTTCTTCTTTGGTGAATAGTTCATTGATGAGGTCTTTCATCAGACCAGCTGGAGTCGGAGGTATTGTACCAGATAATAAATTTCGACCATTATATTTCTAAGATGTTAGAATAATATGAGAACTCGTAAAGAATAACTTACAATAACTGGAAGTACATTAGGTGGTTCACACGGTTTTGGACACTAAAAATAGAAGAAAGAATTCACAGCACTACCGTAATAGTAACACTTAATCAAAAACTCTACTTCTGTATAAATTTTTTTTCTTGCAATTTTTTCAAAGAAATATAAAAAATAACTCGATCGAAAATACACAAATTACCTTGTTTACTTTACGAGCTAAACCAACAAGACGCTTATCGATACTGTCAAGTTTCTTGTCAATATCATCTTCTTTTTTGTGCATCAGATCCATCTTTTGATTAACTTCTTTGAGCATAAGTTGAAGAATATCGATTTGGTCTTTGTTTGAATATGTAGAAGAACTTGATACTCGTTCTTCCACTCGTTTACGTTTTGTTTGTGGTGTATAGTAGATACCTTAGCAAAAAAGAGTTTTTGATAATCAATGAATACAGACTTACCATCTTTTCTCCTATGAGTCGGATGTTGACTAGATGATTGACGATGTTGATGATTGTAAATGGGAACTTCTCGTACTATTGGAAAGTCTGTAACATAATAAATTTAAATTATATGGGTCTACTGTAAACAAATGATGGCTACTTTCATCAACATCACATTCGTCGTATTCATAACAATCCAAATCATCATCAAATGTTTGAATATTTGTAGCACCACGTGGAACTTTTCTTATTCGACTAGGTGTAATGCAAGTAGTAGTACGATTTGACATAACTTCAGTCTAAAAAATATAATAATGGCATCATTGTTCATAAATCGAAGTAACACATATACTTACTTTAAAAAAATTCAAGAATATTTTAAAGACAGATAATATCTAGAAACAAAGATAGAAATATAAGATTGAGATATTACAATCGTTCAATCGTGTTCTGTTTCGAGTTCAATTTGAGTACATACAGAAAAGTCATTATCAAGTCGGAAAAAAATACATTTACACATGATAGATGAACAAGGAAAAATGATTAATTGAGATTTAGAATGTCGAGCAATTTGATAATATCTATCAATATACATGTTCCACATTGGAATATTTTCAATAGATTTTATAAGTGAAGAAAACTTGTTTTTTGAATTAGTATATCGTTTGAAAAAGAAAAATGGTTCATTGTGTACATAGAAATAGAACAAAATTTCTCCATAACATAAAACCGAATTCATACGATCTGTTTCATCTTTCACACATACATTGTAGCTGTTTGAATTTTGACATCGATTATATGACAGTGAATGGTAAATAATTAGTCCACGTTTATACCTGGAATGATATTTAAGTGATGAATTAGGTAATTCACTAAACGTTTGCATGTAAACTAGGTTGAATTCTTGAGTGTAGTTGTTCAATTTATTAAAATCAATAAAGCTGTCATTAATAAGTTGTTCATCAGTTAACAATGAAGGATAATATTGTACTTCTCTTGACCGTATTTGTCGAAAGATACACCACCAAAACGCCATTTGTTCAGCTAAAACAATAGAACCATGTGCAAGTTTTTGAAAAACTTGCAAACAACTTTCTGATGCGTATAAACTATAAAAAAGGAATAAAAACGAAAGTAGATGAGAATATGCATATAAAATATTACATACTTACCTATGATAAGCAAGTCCTCCATGTTGTTCCACTTGTTGCCACAAGTGAACGAGACAGTGAACAGAAAACAACTCTTTACAAGAACCATAAAGAGAGGCAAAATGACGAAGGTATACATGTATAAATTTTGGCATGTCCTTAATTTCATTACGATCATCAAAATGACGCAAGACACGAACATAAATGAACAAAAATGAAAAATGTGAAATGTTTACTTCAGGGAAACAATTTGGTATATTCAAACGTAATTTCACAAGTACTGGTAGGGCTGTATAAATCATGAAACATCGTAGTTCCGATGCTTTCCATTTACTATAATTTTGAAAACCTCGAGGTTGTCTGTTAAATGAATGCGGATAGCAGATTTCATCGAGATATTTATTAATAAGAACAATCACTGTTGCATTTTGTTTGATTCTGTCATACCATTCTGTTAATAAGAATCTGCAATATACAAGTATAAAATGGTAACTTTACACAAGGAGTGGCTGATAGGTAAAATTAAGTGACCACTGCGTAGAAACTCATCTCTAAAAGATAATTACATAGGAAGCAATCTCATTATTTTTTCATAAAAACATCAATATTATTTTTTATTTTTTGATTTAATCAACAAATAAATAACATTATTATTATTAGGATTTGATTTCAATAATTTACACTTCTTTTACATAAAGCTTCAGATACTCAAATAGACAAAACTGCAAAGTATGATATTGATAAAACTCTCAAACAACAACAAATTAAACTTTTTTATAGAATTAACCTTTTACTCACCGAAAGTGTATTTCGAAGACTAAATGGAAATAGTCAAAAACAGATTGTTGAGGTATTGATATTATAGAAGAAATGGGCGAAACACCAATAACACCGTATATGTTCTTATTAACAGAATCAATCTGTTGAGCACATACATTGATGTGTTCTTGAGTACGTTGACGTGGTGCTGTACGAACAAAATCTTCCCATTTATAAATTGTATGATTACCACAAGGGTACAGGCATCGTTCTCCTTCAAAAAGACATCTCGAACAAGCGTAAAATCCGTTGTGATTCACCATTCGATTGACTTTAGCTCGTGCTGGTAAATCACCATTGAACAATTGAACATTTAATGAAAAATGAATTATTTCTGAAATAAATAATCAAAAAGCTTTAGAATGTAAACTGAAAACGGTTGAAACAGGCAACTTCAAAATATGTGACGGAATTGAAAGAATAAAAAAAATTATGTAATCGAAGTTTTCATTCTTATTGTCGTCAAGGACCAATCGACACAATTATCTGTCGCGATTTTAAATCCCAAATTAACTTACCATCTTTTATAACAACATTAATTCCAGTAGCAATTAAAAGTTTGATGTTATCCACAATTTTATTTAAAAGTAAAGCACATGGCGGTGTTACTGGTGAATGCCATAGGCCGAGAAGGAGTATGTTGTTTACATTTTCACGAAGTGGTGGAGGTATTTCTGCCAAAAACGACAGTATCTTTAAAAAAAAGAAAATGTTAAAAAGGAAAAAAAGAAGAGTGTGTAAAGTATTCACCGGCCAAACGCTGGTCTTGGTTTTTTTTTGACTTAATGATCGGTTTACCATCAGTGCTTAATAATAAACTCAAATGAGGACCACCTGAATCATTTTTCTTATATAATTCTCCTAAGCACAAATAAAAAATAAATATCAGAGTATATTCCTTTAACAGTGCATTTATATGTAAGTTACCATTTACTAGATCAGCAACAATTTGACGTTCAGGTAAACTATACCATTCGATCACATCTATGTTTGACTGCACGACTCTTTTTATCTCTTCACCAAGTGAAAAAATACATAGTTCAGAATTTGCTGTTCGTTTTAAATTACAATGTGGACAAAGATCTTGATATTTGTTCAAATTCGTAAAGCATGTGGAACAGAAATAAAATGTATCAAAACAAAATTTTATACTAAGTTTTTTCCATAAAGCATTTGTTGTTTTAGGAATTTCCTCAATTGTTGAAAAATGTGCTGATCTTAATAGGGACAATAACGATGTGGTAGTCGATTTGTTTAAATTTCCAGCATGAATAAATTGAACTAACTCAGAAAGAAAATTGTGTTGATGAATATTTTCATGATCAATTGAAATATTGTTCGTATTAAAATTAGGTTCAGGAGAGTTGTTTTCATCTGCTGAAAGACTCATTCCATCGTTTGACTCATCATCATAATCAACAACACTATTTCCTATCGAAACATATGAATCTTTCTAAGATGAAAATCAATGAAGTTTAAAATAATTTTTTTTTACCATTTTCAAAATCAGTTCCAGCTACTATAAAAAAATCTTCATTTTCTTCCAAAATATCATTTCCATAATCATAATCAACCTTTTGTTGAAAACCAACCTTGTTTAGATTTGCTAAGAGCAAATAAAACAGCAATGAATATAATTTCAACAAAAAATAACTTACAGGAATTTGTAAGGAAATTTTTTTGACTTGTAAAAGTAGACTTGCTAGTTATTTTTTGCCTATATCGTGCATTTTGATTTCTTTTTAAATGACGATCTAATTATAAAAAAAAAGCCTAACAGCAGTCGTACTTCTCAAC